GGGATCTTGCTTTCCAGGAAGACAGTTTGTTGTCCATCCTTTCAAGGATGTACCTAAAGGTATTCCTGGACAATCTCCCATGCAACACTGGTACCCCAAGGTATTTTCCTAGGTCAGGGGTAGACTGTATTCACGACTTATTACAAATGTTCTGCCTATCATTGTATCTAACATTCTTTGAAAAGAAAACCCTAGACTTCTCTTTACTAACAAGCTCCCCTGAAGCAAGACAGAAGGATTCTAAACAATTCAGAACAACCTCAGCTTGCTTACACGAAGCCTCAGCAAAGAGAGCTAGGTCATCAGCAAAGAATAAATGGGAAAGGGCATGACAGTTAGCAGCAAGTTTCACTGGTTTCCAATTTTTAACATTCACTTCATGAAAAATGCAGTGACTAAGTCTTTCAACACACAGAGTAAATAAGTAAGGGGAAAGGGGACATCCCTGGCGAAGGCCTCTGGCTGGTTTGAAGCTCTCTGTCTCCCCTCCATTCCACAAAACTTGCATCTCAGTGGTTGTGACACACTCCATCACCATTATGACAAAAGTTCCTGGAAGTTTTGCACTGTACAGTGTTTGTTCCAAGAATTTCCAGTCAATCCTATCGTAAGCTTTAGCTAGATCCACTTTTAGAAGCATAACTCCTTTTTTCCAGTCTTCCTTTCCATGGAATGAACTGTCTCCTGCAAAATAAGGATATTTTATCAGTAATATGCCTATTGGGAACAAAACTTGATTGGTTCTGATGCATCAGGACCTTAAGCTTGTTGGCCAGACATTTAGCAAAAATTTTATATCCTACATTGCATAAACTAATAGGCCTAAACTGATTCATAGAGGATGGGGATTCAGCCTTAGGAACAAGAATAAGCAGGGTTTGGTTAATCAAACTAATATTTGAATGGACAGTGAAACATGAGGAGATAAAGTTAGAGAGGTCTCCCCCAATCTGGCCCCAGCATTTCTGAAAGAAGATGGCCTGGTAACCATATTTTCCTGGTGCCTTATGACCATTCATGCTCCTCACAACCTCTCTGATCTCATCCATGCTTGGTGGAGTGCACATTCTGGTGACTTCGTCTTCTTCAATTGAAGGGAAGTTTGCTGGGATAGAATGAATGATGTCGTGCCCTTCCTTGCTATAAAGCTTGACAAAATGATCCATGGCCATAGTTTGCAGCACTGTTGGATCTGTAATCTAGTTCCCCTCCTCATCATTCAGACCAATGATCCTATTCCTTCTTCTCCTGCTGAGTGTGCTATTGTGGATTGTGGAAGAACCTTGTGTTCTGGTCTCCTTGGATGATCCAGTTTGCGCGAGATTTCTGGAGCCAACGCACTTCCTCTTGCCACAAGGTTTCTTCAAGCTCTTCCCTAACTTTGCATTCTTGAGCTCTGGATTGAACACTAGGTGACTTCTCATTTTTGTCCTCCATAGCTTGGAGTCTCTGCCACAAGCTCCTTTTCCTCTTAAAGATATTGCCAAAAACCTCTCTATTCCAGGTTTTTAGCTTCTCAGTGAGTTGCTCCAGTCTGCAAGGGAAGACAGAAGCATTACCACGAACCCAAGCATTCTCAAGAAAAGGAAAAAACTCTTTATGAGCAATCCAAGGAGCCAAGAATTGGAATCTCCTCACCAGCTTACGCTTTTCCACTTGCCCTTTACTGCTAAGCAGAATTGGTCTGTGATCAGACTTCAGCTTGGGAAGGTGAAGGTTGGACGAGCTTGGAAAGGCTCGTAGCCACTCAGCATTGCAAATACATCGATCCAGGCGTTCCTTAAGCCTAGATTTCTTGTGAACCAAGTAAACTTAAGTCCACTAAACCCCAGGTCAAGCAAACCATTGTCTTCCATGCACTTGTTAAACGCCGCCACCCTTCCAAAATTGAAAGGGGCTCCCCCGTGCTTTTCTAGGGAATTAGAGATGGAATTGAAATCACCAAGCAGGACCCATGGAATCAAAGTTCTCCTATGAATTATTCCGATGGCTTCCCAAAGCAAACCTCTATTGTGCTCATTAGGGGTGTAATTGTGCTCATTAGGGCTAGCATACACCACAGTGATCTGGCAAACCTCTTTATTACCCTCCCAACATTTGATGTTTGATGAACTGTCTCTGACAATCCAGCAACTCCCAACAAACATGATCTTTATTCCATAAGACCCAGATGCCTCCACTAAAGCCAGTGGCATCAGACACTTCCCATGAGTCAAACCCTAGGGATTTGATCACTTTAGGAGCCTCTTCCCAACTAATTCTAGATTCCAGGGTACACAGGATAGTTGGTTCATACATTTTCTTATAAAACTCCACTGTGGAGTGAAATTTCGGGTGTTTGGCACCACGATAGTTCCAGGAAAGAGCTCTAATCATAATGGATAAGAAGACTTCCCTTTCCCCAAATTAGGGTATCACAATCATGTGGAATCAACGCCCATAGCCGTCGCTTCCTGCCCTTGGCAATTATCCTGTGCCTCCTTACTAGGATTGCTTTCATTCTCTGAGGTCATCATAGCCTTCCCTGAGCTTACTTCAAACTCAAGCTTGTGAGTATGGTTGGTCCCATTTTCAGGGGTGGTACTACACTTATGGCTCTGGTCATTAGTACCCTCAGGTGGAGGTTCCTTCACCTTGAACTGATGACCTGAGATTCCCTCCAATGTGTGCTCTTTACCTTTCCCCAATTTTTTATTTTCTGGGGTTTTTTGGTTGGGAATAGAAGGAACTTTTGGTTCTCCTTTGGTAAGTGCATCTTTTGAGTTAACTTTACCCTTCCCTAGCACTCGCTTAGTCAGCTTAGCACCCCCAACCTCCTGTTTCATACCAGCTCCAGTATTCTTCAATCCCTGCTTCGAGGTTACTGGTGAGTTTTTCTGGTTTTCCTTCCTCCCAACTTCTCTTCCAGGTGTTGTTTTTCTTTGTTTGTCTTTCTTGTGCTTAGTTTCTATCTCTTGCTTCTTCATCTTCATGCCCTCTTTACTTTGTCCCTTCTTCTCTTCTGTTTCTTTGTTGCTGCCAACACCTTGATCCTTCTATGTCACAGGGGCGTTATCCTCACCTGTACCTTCAGCACAATCCACCCTTGTCTGTTCTTCCTCAAGTACACTGAATCTGGATCCATCTTGTTGTTGCGTGCGCCGCTGTGGCTTCCACTTTTCCTAGTTCACCTTTCTTTGCTGCAGCCCATTTCGGGTTGATTCTCCTCTTTGACCTTGAGGCGATCATCCATGGCCCAAAGTCCTCTAACACTTGCGGTCGAATTACATTCTCATTCCCTGGGGTGTTCGTGCTCATGGTCTGATGTTCTGTCGTGACGATTGCTCTTTTCTCCGAGTTGGGGCAGTTGCTCTCCAGGTTACCATAAATGCCACACTCATAACAGACTGTGTTCAACCCCTCATACTCCACTCTTCTGACCCTCCTCTTCAACCTGTACTTTGGCACCAGTTTTTTCCTGAGATCAATTTCCACACAAATCCTGGCGTAGTTCCCTCGAAATCCGTTCGACGTGTTGTAGTTAATCTTCACCACCCTGCCAATTCTGGTGCCAATACTCTCAAGAATTTCTTTGTCAAAGTACGTCAGAGGCAGTCGTGGAAGACGAACCCAAACCATGGTCTTGTTTATGACATCAAAATCTGGGTCAAAGTCCAGTCTCCACGGCTCCGCGACAATGTATTGCTCATCCACCGTCCAAGGTCCCCCGTAGAGAGCTCTATCGTAGTCCAGCTGGGATCCGAAGATTGCCTGGTAATATCCATTACCAATATCCCCGATTTTGACAGCTCCCGTCTTCGCCCATATTTTGTCGACTTTCCTGTGGAAGAAGGCAAAGGGGAGGTTGCCACCCAGGATCCTGAAAGTGATAGCTCTACTCCATCTATAGCGAACCCTAGCATCTGTGCTCTTCTTGATTCTTATAATTGGACACAGTGGGTCATCCTCTCCTTCTTCACCGTCTGATTCGTCAGACATGAGCTCGTCCCCTTGTGGGAATTCCGGTTGGGGGCCATTCCCCAGAACAGAATCCTTGTAGGAGGCTCTATTCGGGTGATTCTCCCTGTGTTCTTCTTCTTTCTTGTTGCTAACCTGAGGCGATTCAGCCCCCTCCATTTCCGAGTCTGTCTTCTCCTCCGAAGCCGTCACGATCGCGTAGTCCATACTTCCCTCGCTGGTGAATCCTTCACTCGTTGTCGCTTTAGCCTTCTTGCTGGGCTGGATCGGCGTTGTCGCTGGGGACCCATCCGGTGGTTTTGGATCAGGAACCACCTCCTCCGATGGGGGATCCATCACTCAACGGTCGGAAACGGGAAAAAGAAGAAGAGAGAGGTCAGAGCATTTCTCTCTCCTACTTTCCCTTTCTCCCTCTTTGCTTGCCCCTCATGGAATCTCTTCTGCATACCAATCGTCCTCCTCTCGATCTAGATGTATTCATCCCGCTCCACCTCACTCAATCGTCCTCTCATGCAGATGCGGTCTCTCATTCATTTGGCTGGTACTGGAAAACGATTCGGTAGAACTCACTGGATGCCATCGTTCAATGATCCAGAATCTTCGTTCATATCTGGACTGGAGGACCGTTTGCTATTGTTGGTGATGTTTGTGGAGGGAGTTGATGGTGATTAATTGGTAGCCATGGATCCGGGGATGCTAATCAAAGCTCGACGCATTCCATGAGTGGATCTGAAGAGGAGGACAACATGCATCAGGGTTCCGGGGAATTAGATTGGAGGGATTCGATTGCCCCTCTCTTCCATTTCATTTTCACCTCTTCCCCCCTCTGGTTGCCATTACAGAAAAAGAATATGCATATTTTTTCTCTACGATAACATTAGGGGGACTCCCGGTCATCGATTTTGGCGATTCAGGGGATAAAATCAAAGAAAAGCTCACCCTCAGTCTCTTTTCCTAATTGGCTTTCCCCAAATTTAATTGGCGAAAAGAAAAAAAGGGAAGAAGCAGGAGCAGACTCGCGGAAGACCATCTAGCTGCAGATCATGGTCACAGAATCCCACCGCAAAACGTCGACCGCCTCCAGAATATTTGCTCTAAAGTTGGGGGCATCTCCACCACAGCCTGGCCCGGCCAACGTTGTCCCTAATGATCCGGTGATCCATAGCCCTTCAAGAAATCTTTTGTATTCGCCACCAACCCCGTCTCGATCAGATTCCCCATTTCAGCTCGCCCCGAATCTATCACACGACTTGAATTCTCAGGAAACCCTTCACAGTGCGTTGGAGATCAAGGAGCTTGAAACTCTCATGGTACGCCTCCCCTTCAACATTTATTTTCCTCCAATGTCGATTCAGGCCGTATTCTGACCAAGGAATACTTGGTATGTATTAATGAGATTGAAGTCGACGACGAAGCAAGTGGACGATTTGGAGTCGGCGGCAGCGCCAACAGAGTAGAGGGACGAATCGCAACGGGAGGGATCACGGAAGGTGGAGCGCTCCACGAAGAGAGAGGTTGGGATAGCCCAGACCTAGCTAACTATCCAAACAAAGGCCGAATTACTAAAATAAGCCTAAAAAGTATAAAGCCTATGTATATTGGAGCCTTAAGTGACTGTGATCCAAACCAAAATAACCCATAGCACACTTTAGCAAACCTCTTATGCAAAAATAACACATTTATAACTTTAATTATATTAATTATATTTAGGATAATTGTTTATGTGGTATTTGTAGAGGAATTGCCGAGTTGAACTAGTCCTTAATGGTATGATCATCTACATATGCAAATCTTTTATACTCGGTATCATAAGTCTTTCTTTTATTCAGTTACAAACTCTCCATGGCCACGATGTGGAGGATGCACAAGTCTAATTATAGTATCAAAAGTACTCTAGGGGTCGTTTGGATTAGCAGTTTTAATATGAGTGATTCCAACTCAAATTTATCATTTAAAAAACCAAGTAATTTAAATGAGTTATTTTGCCCAAATTACTTATTTGTTTGAGGATTAAAGATTTTGATCCAAAATGATTAAAGACTTTCTTACCCTCGTCTTCTCCCCCCTGCCTCCTTCGTATCCAAAGAAGAAACCACCATCATAGCTACAAAATTATCATGGCCACCAATAACTCATAATCACCTCCTTATCCAATTAGAGAACCCATTATTCGTTTATTCATCATAGCTACTCTAATTCCTCCTTGCAATTTGTCTGCTACCCAAACAAGGAAAAGGGTTAAAATTCTGGACGGGCCGGGATTTAGGCCCAATCCCTCATCGGATTTCTTGATCCAAACGGCCCCTAGTTAATATATATAAAAGTGAAGTTTGGTTATTGTACATTTTCATACTTCAAATTTAATTAAATCACAACTTAATCATTATAATGTACATTTATATTTAGATACCCCAAATTTACTTTTTATGTAAAATCATTGAGCAATTATATTTGGCATCTAAATTTAATGAAATTTTCGTACCTACAATTTTTTAAATTTACATATCGGTCGAATGTTTAGATTTCACTTGAATCTATGAATTCAATCCACCAATGCATCATAACATAAAAATATAAATTTAGTTTGTACCATGCAAGATGTTGTATCACTCAACTGTAGGAGAAGATTCGACCATTTTGGTCATCCATGGGATTTATACTTAAAAAAAATGTATGTTATCCATTTGAATTAATAATTACCATTTTTTAAAAGAACATTCTATTCGGTGACGTGACAACATATTTAGTAAATTATAATATGAGTACATTAAGATAATGATCTGTATGAAGTTTTTGTATGGCATTCTATTAACTGTTGCCTAAATAATTGCATTTTGATACCCCAAATTTGATTAAATTACAACTTAGTCACTATAATGTATATTTTACATTTTGATATCTCAAATTTCATTTTAATGTAAAATTATTGAACAATTATGTTTTGGTATCTTGATTTTATGAATTTTCGTACCTACAATTTTTTAAATTTACATATTGGTCGAACATTTAGATTTCATTTGAATCCATGAATCCAATCCACCATAACATAAAAGTATAAATTTAGTTTGTACCATGCAAGATGTTGTATCACTCAACTGTAGGAGAAGATTCGACCATTTTGGTCATCCATGGGATTTATACTTCAAAAAAAATATGTATGTTATCCATTTGAATTAATAATTACCATTTTTAAAAGAACATTCTATTCGGTGACGTGACAATGATATGATCCTAATTCGAGAATCCTCCCAAATCGGACCAAAAACCAGAGTTGCACACGTCGAACTTTTTAGGGGTTTTCTCCTTTCTTGAATAACACGAAATAAAGATACTTGCGGAATCGATCAAACAAATCCGAACTCGTGAGAAGGGCGAGAAGGTATATGAAACCTTCCAAACAATCTCGAACCCAAGGAAGAGGCCAACTGATATCGTCGATGCTCGCAGTGTTAGAGCCAACCCTTTCAGCCATTTTTGAGCAGTGCGGATCTCTACACAATCGAAAAAGAGAAGAATATTACTTATTGAAATCACGCTGAAGATTCAGGATGTGAATAGCGCCAGAATTTAAGTCACCAACCCAATATTCAGTCTCTGAATGAATGAGAGAAATTACAGAGTTATTCACAGCAACTTGATTGCAGGTCAATTAAGTTTGTGATGTTTCAGGCTAAAGGTGTAGGGCTGCCAAATATGCGTTAATGTTCATGTCACTATGTGCTCACATATCCCTTGAGAGGACAGACTATTTGATGCAACATGAGGAAAAGTGATGTCAAATATGCGGTCATGCTCATGCCACTATGGTCAGCCAATCTCATAATTGCTATTGGCTGGAAATAACCGACTTAGAAGGAACCTTACCAAACATGGCCTTTCCTTTGTCCATGCGTGTTGCTCCACTAGTTTGCTTAGTTTGAGCCTCAGAACTGTCACCTCTTTCTGCTCTTTAAACAAAGAAGCATCCTCAGAGGGATGAGAATTCACAGCGAATGATGTAGTACGCTTGCCACATTGATGTGGAGTTTGGACCATCAATAATTATTGGGTTCCTTGGTGGATGCAAGTGCATTCGTCTCTAATTTACACTTTCATGTGATACCCTTCTCTGATACCTAGCTGATTGACTCGCTCTATGTTTGTCAAATCAGAAATTCTTGGATGACTAACACTTGATGACCAGTTGCTCGACCAAATTGCACACTTTTGCTCTGCCTTCCAGATGATCTACCATGAGTAGAAGGTATTTCCATTACATATCAATATCCATGTCATCCATACCTGCACCACTTGTAGAAAAACATGATTCAGTTAGCAGATCGACAATGTGCAATCTGATAATCACGCTGATTAGGATTGCAGACTACCAAGCCATCAAACGGAACAATACTAACAAATGTTTTCTTGACCAGAAACTGCATAAATTTTGGGATTCAATGTGTGTATACTACAAATCGTTTCCTGCCATAAAGACTGAAGTCACCTAACAATTGCAGGTCTCTACAGTAACATATTTCCAAAGAGGCTAGATCACAGAATCTAAGAAGCTTATAGCACAGGACATACTATACACCTCCTAGGGATTTTCACAAAGAGAGGATTCTCATGATCCACGCCAAAAAAGAAGAAACAATGTAAGACCAGTTAGAAAATGTAGCAACCTTTTAGGACTTAAGCAGGACCACAGCTAGAATAGCATCAGATCAAATACCCTGTCAACAAATTTCAAAAGCTAAAACAACGATCCATAATGAAGGAATGACCAAAAATTTATCAGCTAGAAAGATATACATACCTACAAGAGGACACAATAGGAGGTTGTAAGCATTAAAGACCCAACAATGCTACAGACTTCTTAGTAGACAGCAGTAATGACTTGTTTTTGGATAGAAGAAATCATATCAAACTACAAAATCAAGCCGCAAACACTAGGTTACACTGGGAGACTTGTGCTTACAGTATGTAATGCAGTATGATCATAGGTAGAAGAAGCTGACATAACATTTTCTTCCTATTGTAGTGCCCAATCCTATGCTATACCAGTATACCTACTCCCGTCAATCTGTCGGAACACCATTTAACCATGAAATTATGCGCAGGTACTATGTCTTAACTCAATAGACTGACAAATATAGGTCACTCGTCACTAGCAGCATAGGATGAGAAGAGAAAAAACCTCGTCTGCTTCTACTTTCCTTGTCCTTGCTTCTGACTCGGCAGCATCCACTAAGCCTGATTCATGAGTGCCATCCATGTCTTCTAGCTTCAAGGGAAAACTCATTACACCTTATCGAACTGTCAGGTTGACGATTTGGGATTCTGGATGACCTTTGGATGATCTTCTAGCTGCACTGTTTGCTTCTCTATAAGTGAACAACCAATTAAGCACATTTTCTCCTTCTCCATCTCTTTTATACATCTGACTACCACTCCCAGCTCCGTTCTAGTGTCAGTCTCCCCTTTGAGCAGACTCACTACCTTCCTGCAGCCTGATTCCACATAACATTATCCTTTCCAAGCTCCACCGCCTTCTGCAGACCAAATAGAACAGTCATTCCTTCTGCAATATCTGCTGGTCATTGCCTCTGCAGCTTCTTATGTGCCACAAATATGAATGTACCATTTCAATCACTCAGAATACATCCTAGCCCAATTTCCCTCTGCTACTTACACCTGCAACAATGTTAAGATTACAGACACCAACAACCGGCTTCACTCATTTACCATTCCTTCTGGCTGCTCTCCCATGCAGACTTCCTCCCTCTTTCCCGCACTTCAAGGAAGTCTTTGATGAAAACATCAACTTTATTGAACACCTCCCATTCTTGCAATATCTTGTTGTTGAAAAGAAACTGATTCTTTTCTTTCCCCAAAAAAAAAAACAGAGGAGTGAGCAGAAACATGTCCTTATCCACAGTGGTGGCGACGGGAATCTCTAGGATTGCCTTGTGCCCTCCAAGTTTGAGTTTCGTGATTGATCAAATCAGAAACTCTTGCATCCCATTCCATAAAAGGGTTATATGAATAGACCTGATGTCCCTTTAAGCCAGGAACCCACTTATCACCCCAGATTTTCACATCCTCCCCTTAGCATATTCTCCATTTGCAACCATATTTTAACAAATCTTGTGCACCAACCAGACTTCTCCACAAGTGACTTGGCATCCAAGACTGGTCCTTAAGGATAATACTTTGCTTTAAGCAGCCTGGCCACCAGATGCTGAGGATTCAAATGGATGGTCCATAACTACTGCTTTGCCAACAGAGCTTTATTAAAGATTATAAGATTACAGAACCCCCATCCGCCCTACTATATAGCTATTAGTCCCCAATAAAGAAACACAAAAGCCTAAAACTACTACACCTA